GCTTCCCAAACAACCGTTGGTAATAATTAAATGGAAAGACCACCGTCTCTGCATCAGGAAAGACCGGGGGACTCGTAGCACATGTGCTTTGACTGGAGGGCGGGAAGACAGTGGATGTTTGCGCTACTGCCGCGGACGCGACTTAGTCTTGGAGCAAATCCGGAGCGCCCGAGAAGCGGAAGATGCAAACGAAAGGCCAGCAACAGGAATGTTGGTGTTTGGTGCCGGAGGAATATCGACAATGGAATCAAAAGGCTGGCCCGGGGGACCGAATTCAAGCTCGAAGCCCGCTCCACCTTGGTTGTTGAGCCAGGATATTGTTGTGGTATTCATTGAGTGGCATCGATTTATGAACAAGCAGTTTACCTGGCGGACATAGCTCTGGATCCAAATCCATGTACGAATCGTGGGAGTGCCAGTTGCTCTCGTCGGTCTGCATGAACAGATGGTCGGAATCGGTGTCCCATCCCGCGGCCTCGAACGAGGATTCGAATGTAGCTGTGGAAGGGGCGGGCGCGGATCTAAACACGGCATTAGTAGCGATTTTCATCCCAACTGGATGTTACTCACCAGTTGAACTCATAGGCTCGTTCAGAATTTCGTTCGCAAAATCTTCTGCTTGCCTTCAGTTCAATTTAGGCCCTGGTGCAGCTGAATTTCGGCTGAATATGAATGATGGCTGGAAATGACATCATGTCATTTATTGTCACAACATTTTTGTTGCTAGGGCCCTTTGGGTAGTTACGGGGCCTTTCCTGCCACTCACATGATAAATCCGGCTCATGACCTGCGTGCCGGTCACTGCCGGAAGCTGCCGGAACAGTCCAACGTGATGTGTCTGCAAGCGGCGACCATGGATGCCCCGGCGCGTGTTGCATGATGCAGGCGGCAGGCAGCCGGCTTGCGGCATTCCTTTGCAGGTATGCCCTTGGCATCCTTTGAGACTCATGCATATCATGATGCCGACCTATCACAAGCAACAGCAAACAGTTGAAAGAGCCGCGCACCCGGTAGCCCTAACCTGGCCGACCTTCCCTTTTGGGTAGTTACAGCCCTGTAACTACCGTAACTACCCAAAAGGCCCTAGCAACAAAAACATTGTGACAATTAATGTCATGATGTCATATACATTTTCAGCCATCATTCATATTCAGCCGAAATTCAGCTGCACCCGATCAGGGCCTTATTACAGCTGTTTGCATAATTCATGAGACTATATTTTTTTGGGAAAGAGAAGAAGAAAATCAGAATGCGGATTTCCCTGCCCCAGAACTCGGCCAGTTCTTACTCAATTCACAAAAAAATTGGTACTGTTCTAAAGCCCTTAAGCAGGGCTCTCATATGGTGGTACTTTCGACGCAAAATTCGGAATAGATTCGTTTGTTTAGCTCACTAGAACCCATGTGCAAAACCCTTTGTGTAACACGAGAACCGACAAAAGCCAAGTAGCTAGCAAGTGGTAACTATGGCAACATGTAATAAAATAGGTATTTGAAATGTAACCATGGAAAGTGTCATGCATGGTTATTTCGTCTTTCATAAGGTACTATTTTTTTTGTTAAGAACTGGCCGAGTTCTGGGGCAGGGAAATCCGCATTCTGATTTTCTTCTTCTCTTTCCTAAAAAAAACACAGTCTCATGAATTATGCAAACAGCTGTAATTGCAGAAAGCTCGCTACGGACTGGTAATCGTTCGCGGTGCTCAGACTCCTCTGTCAGACGCATCCAGGCGTTGAACGGGCCCGGAGAGATCCAGTCGCACGCGCGATCGAGCCCGAAGAACGGATGTCTGAGATACAACACCCCGAAGACCTGGTTGATGTTGAGAGACATCTTTGTCAAACTCCGTGAAAGGAATAACGCATTTGTGTGCAGTAGGCACGTAAATGTTTGAGTTAGCGTGCTGGTAGGTGCGAAGCAGATGGAGAGATTCGGCTGGGTTGTAGTCCTGATGTAGGGAGTATCCCGCCACTGTCATCCACAGAGGGACATCCTTAACAGTGAAAAATGGCTCCGATGCAGGATCTCCAAGTGCGGAAGGAAACATCTACAATTTTGAACTCGAGGCTGTATACTTCATACTTAGTACTTACAGTATAATTATGGTCTCAGCGTCTTTCATGCTACTAGTAAACCTTGGCTAATCCAATTCGGAAGCCGTCAAATCCGATTTAGAAGCCAGGACAGTCTTATCAAGTTATCAGTAGCCAATGGATTGAGGGCGCAATAAGGGATGAGCTGGATGATTCGGATGAAGTCAAGAGCTGGTGCCGATACGGACATCAAACTGTCCATCAAGCCGCTCAAGCGTCTTGGCCCCGAATCCCATCTTGATTTCAACCGTCAGACCTGAGTCCCACTGGCAGGCCGGAGAATGGGACTCGGGCCCATCAAAATGGGACTGGGGGAGTCCCAGTCCCATCCTTTTCGTTACTCCTCGTGCGGTCCGAACGTCACGTGGTATGCTATAATTCAAATTTTTTTTTGTGAGGCGTGCAAACACACTTTGGAGCCCTTTCATGACGGGGTGAAAAAGTTTTTTTTTCCGGCCAGCCAGCCCCCCACCCCATGTCCGTTTTTCGAAAGGCGACGGCCCCTTGACTACGTCGGCATCTCCCAGCGGGTCATTAAGAAATGTTGAACTTATGATATTTGCGGATCGACTTTGTGCTCACGCTACATACTGCACTTGCTTCAAATGAATGCCCTTCTCATCTAGAGTGACGAATTGGGTGCCTGAAACGCTTTTGCCAAATACAGTCAAACAACACTTCTTGTCCCTCATCATGGGCAAACTCAATATCGCCCACCACAAGTCCTACCACCCGTACCGGCGAGACAACATAGAGAAGGTACGGCGCGATGAGGAAGAAGCGCGCCTAAAGGAGGCCGGCGAAGAGGGGCGGATGTTGCTTGCGGTACGCTGCCCCGTACTTCACACCGATACACAACCTCTGACCGCAATGTATGATAGGATTCGGAGGCGCGGATAGACCTCCTTCGCCAGCGTGCTGGGACGAGCAAGCCCTCAAAGAGGCCGAAGGACGACGACGACCTCAAGCTCGCTGTGCAGGCCGCATCCCTTCAGCCCGTCGGCGCCGTGTTGCCGACAACAGGCGGGCACATCAACTTATTTGAGGACTTGGAGCACGTACGTGCGATGAAGAAACTCTCGTGTGCTCATTCCTACCGTCTTTACAGAACGGCATCGCTGCAGCTATGCGCACGACAAAGAAGGCGGAGCCTGTCGAGACCGAGCGCGGCGTCCCGCTCGCGCCATCTGCGAAGGATCTTAATCCCTGGTACACCGAGCGGAACAAAACCAATCCGGACGAGGAGGTCGTGGATGAGAAGCGGTGCGTCGCTGCTTACTATCTTCCACCTCCACGCGCGAATCGACTTCGTTGCGCAGAAAGCGGGACACCGCGCGAAAGTCTGTCCATGATCCGTTGACGTCCATAACGCACGGGCTCGCGTCGCGGCAGGGCTCCAGCTCAGCGTCCTCGAAATCGGCGTATCGCCAGCGCCCGCGCGCCGACCCCGCGAATTCATCTCGGCCGCCGGAGGTGCAGGCGCGATTGACGCGCGAGTCGTCTGAGCGGGAGCGCGCATTGGAGCTCATCCGGCGGAAGCAGCGCGAGATGCGCGGGAGCGAGACGCCCAGCACGGTCCATGGCGGCGACTACGGCGGGTATAACGACGTGTTCAATCGCCGTGAGGTCGAGGACGCGCACCGTGGCCGGGACCGGCGCGAGACTGATTATAGACGGACAAGCTGGTAACGCTCACTTATTTCGTCCTCGACTGTGTTGTAAGTTATATCAAGCGGAGCTGCATGTATAATTCTTTGTGAAACAGGTCACCAGTCAACACCATGCATACCACCTTAGCAGTCCCGCTAGCCACGGTAGGGAAGTATCTCGTGGCACACTCGTCGTCCTGGGCCCGTCTGAAGCCGGCCTCACATTCCTCTCGCCTTCCGCGGTAACAACTCGACGAAGGAATGTAGGATCTGTATTGCGTCAACTTGAAGCGGCACTGCGGATAATGAATTTGATTTTCTTTTAATTACCTGTGTTCTACCGTGGCGACTCCGACGACCAATGGGAAGCAGGTAGGGCGTAAACAGGGACTGGGTTACTTCCTGGAAACCGGGATGCCACGCCAGGACGAGGACGAGTATGCATACGCATCAACATTGCATCTACACGTATTCGCAGATCAATATCAGGCAACACCCATTTTACATGTCGCGTCGCATCCACTCTTGCAACTGCTCGCGGTAGGGACGTTTTAAAGGGATTAGCAAACTAAATCCACAGCTGGGAGTTTAACGTAACGTAAAGGAGCCGGTTCAGTCGTTGACGTGAAGCTTACGGCCGCCCACGCCAAGGGACAAACAGCGTCCATCAGCACCGTATGGCCGCTTGGTGTGCGTCGGGTAAAGTATGACCGCCCTTACTCAAGTGACTGTATGTTGCCTATGACAAGTCAGACAACGCTCCTAAAAAAAAGCAAGTGACTCCGTAAGCCGATGACTCCCTGTTGGGCATGAATACGGCAGCGTTGATGTTTGTCTCGGCAGGAGGCTCGGGCCAGCTGGCCTTCACGTTTTTCTACGCGAGTCGCAGAGAAAGAACTTTATTAAAGCCACTGGCATAAAGGGCGGGGTCTTTGTCATTGCATCCGATACCGACAAGACCTTGGAGGTCAGCACTGGCCAATTCCGGATATTGGCACAAACAAATAGAAGTCAGTATTAAAGAGCAGAGGCACTACTCGCCCTATTTTCGTGCAGATCTGGCTAGATGCTGAGTTCGGGGAATTAAGCTCCTACACGATGTATCAAATTTTCAGATGAACATCTGCGACTCATTGGGTGAGGGCTGGACATGATACTCCAGACTCTGGTGCAGTTTTACAAGTGAATCTAAATTCATCAACAAGTTCGCTAGGAGCACCGCAAGTGGGGCAACCGAGCAGTTAGTTTGGGGCAAAAAGGCCCTATCTGGGAATTGAACCCAGGACCTCCTCGTAATGCTATCGGTAAGCCCGAACGAGGAATCATACTACTAGACCAACAGGGCAATGAACACATTTCAATTAGCATAACTAATATCATGATCAGTGGATTTGCTTGCGGCACAGCTGGTTCCTTTTCTGATGCCGCGCAGTAAATTTCTACATCTAGACTGATAATTTCAACCCCTGTTCAGCGTCTGGTGCTGTGCTTTCAAATGACTCGGAACCAGAGAATGATCCGAATGATCCCTGCGGCCTCCGATTGGTTGGCTAAATCCGGAACATTGCAAAGTAGTCTGGTTGTCCTTGTGTTCAAGTTTGTGCCTTGCCGCTTGCCCACCAGTCATGCTATGTGTGTTGCTCCTTGGTTGCTCCCGTCCTCAACTTCCTTATGTAAGCCTGGCCACGGTTGCACTGATATGCGAAACTGCGAAGGGTACATACACCTCGATTAATTTGCCTCAACATGTTGCATCCAGATAGTTCAAGGAAATCACCAGCTTGCCGTTGAGCTTGTGAAAGAACGCGAATCTGGCCGCGCCCGGGTGTGAGGACGCTATGGCTCCGTTGTGCTCGTGAGTTTCTCTGCCTCGTAGACTAATAGCAGCTAGTCACCATGTTCCCCAAAGCACCGAGCACTCGAGGACACGCATTTTTCTCTGCAAAGTCTGCGACAGGGTGACGGCGCGTTGCTTGGTGGATGTTTGCGCCCCGGGAAAATGTCGTGGCACTTCGCTCGGCTCAATGGAGCCCTTGACACGGCGCTCTATGTCTTCTCCGTGCATCGTTTTCTCTCTCTCTCACATTCACTGGCAGCTGCTCATTCCGATCGCTTAGACGAGGTCGTAAGAATGGCGGTTTCTCGGAACAACGACTCGGATAAGCTTACGGCGATTGTGGAGACGTTGCATCGCCTCGAGGATAACCGGCGGAAGCAACCTATACAGCCGGTGGGTGTCATATGACCTGGTCCGTGCTGAAGTAGATTTTAGATAGTTCCCGGTGGAGCTGGCAGGATTAGCTTTTGTTCCATTCTGTTCCACATATCAGTGATATCACATGCTCACTTTTTCTTTTTTAAACTGATAGGTCCACAGACTCCACACCGCCTCATAGTATATAAGGCTGGCCCATTACCCGTGATCATGACCCACTGAGGATCTCCCTTAGAAGTGGCTGTGCGAGCAACCCCCTGTCTTCGAAAGCTGTTGAGCCTTCTGGAACTCATCCGGTTTGCCCACGTAAGCGGAAACCTAATTCAAGCCTTGAGGCAGCGAAGACTGAGCGAAGCTTCTTAAAGTTACTCGATTCCCAGCAAGTTTAATTATAAATTGCACCCGAAGCTCGGCTTCAGAGAGCCGAGCTTCGAGTGCAATTTGCACAGCATTTTGCCATGATCGAGGTAGCACATTACCCAAAGGGTAGTGGGAATTTTAAGCATATTCACATCATTTACTGCCAGTGTCACGGCTCGGACAGCGAAGGTCCCTTGGTTTTCGTTCAAAATACTCTGCTGCGGAGCCCACGACCCCATCGCGAGAGCGAAACGCGCCACGATGAGGTGTGTAGTGAAGTCCTTTCCGAGGAGGCGTTTCTCCACTCAATACAGGCCGTAGATTGGCGCTTAAGCGCGTCTCATGTCGTCGTTATTACTGTGCCTTCAAGCATCATTGTGGAGGACGTCGAACTTCACGAGCGCATCTTGGCAGCTATGGCTCCTCGGCTCGGAGCCTGGGAGGCACATACCCAGCAACATTCTCATCTGCCACGCGAGCTATTCCGACCTGCCCCGATATAAATAAGGTGAATAGAGCCGGCGAGCGGCGGGGCCCGCTACCTGTCCTCTGCAGCGAAGAGATACTATTGGCTTCACCTCCCCAGCGTCGCAGGTAGTTATGGTACGAACCATTTATAAAGATCACTTGCAGTGGTGGTTCGATCAAATATATATATAATTAAGTTATACAAGTATGATTGGACGCAGTGTCATCCATGTCCACCTTGGCAGAGCTTGCAGCCACTCAGTTTCCAGCTTCCTGGAAACCGGCGTTCCTGAGTGGGCCGTGTAATACTACTACTACTACTACCAGCAGTGTCAACAAACGCCGCCCAACCATGATATCAAACACAAGCTCTGGGAACGAAACCAGAGACAGGTCACAAAGTTGAAAGATACCATCCAATAAGGCTACGCCGACGCGGGCAGGGATACAAAGTCCGAGTATTGGAGCGGAATGTGCTAAGCGGCACGCAGGGAGAGACCAGTCTGAGTTTGAGAGGGACCAAAAGCGACGGCAGAGATCATCATAGAATGTCAGACGACGAAGGGTGTAAAGGCAAGTTCTTGAGATGAGACTCAAGGACTCATCATGACCATAGCTCATGCGAAAAAAGAGGAGCGCGCATGCCAGTGAGAATCACTTACGCCGATGTCGTGAATTCGACTGACAGCCTGATCAATGTCGCAAATTGAAAGACTGACAGCCCGTAGATCAGGCCAGCAAACACCGTGACAGCCCTGCCAGATCTGTGGAGATCCCAGCCAAGACAACTTCGGCTCTAATATAAGACTTGCTACCTAAAGGTAGCGGGAATCACGACCTTGCGTCCTGATCAGTCCCCTGAACCCATGGTGCCTTTATTGACCCTAGGCCCCGTATTTGCTGGAGGCATGGTTGCTATGGCGTACGCGTCTCTTTCTCTAGACCATGGCGCGGAAACTCACTGGGACATAGGCTCTCCGCCGTAGTGGGCATGCAAACGTTCCTATACTTCCGGCTCTTCCCGCACGACCTACCGCGGTACAAGGTCCTGGTGAGCACTCGCATAACTTGTTTCTTTCCATTGTCCCGCCAACGCCTCTGCATTCCCGTAGGTCGCCTGGGTTTGGTGAGACGGACCTTCCCACACTCAACTGAACACATTTCTCATCGAGCCTCAGGTTCACCGATGCCGCCCACACGATTGCGGTTTGCTGCGCTGTGTGGCAGTACGCCGTCGTCGATTTCAACAACCCGGAAGGATTGCTCGTTATGCCTATGTCCGTCCTTATTCTTATGCCTTTAGTCATCGCCTGATCTAAATGTATTGTATGCAGGGGCTACCTGGTATGCATTCAGACACGCAAAACTCGACTAAGGTCATTGACGAAGCACAATTTGACCAGGTCAACATCCCATTCACTTTGATTGCCACGCTCAATGCTACTTTGTGAGTCTTCTGAGATAATTCTGCTACCAAACTCTTCTCATTTCCGTTTCTCCACAGGTTTTACACGTGGAGAATCACAAAATGTCCGATTTTCCTTGTGTTTGAACACATTTCTGACTCGGACTGTGGTTCTACAGTGAGCAAGCGCAACTGGTACATCGTCGTCCCGATCGTGCGGTACCGCCGTTTCTCGTCCGAGCCGTCTCTGACTACGACGAATCATTTAGCTTTTGTTGATACTGTCGCGTATAGGTATGCATTTTTTTCTTCTCTCATACCGATTTTCAGGCTGACCTGGTCTTGACACAGTGGTCGGATTGCGTGCGCCTCCGCGTCTCGTCTGAGTCTCCAGCAGTTGACAATGTCTGTTTATTTTAGTTAACTTTAAGGGAGAGCAAGTCTTGAGCTAGCCTCTGACCTTCTTCTTACTGACATCCGATTCTCGGCTGTGGTCGCACAGGTACAGTAGCAGACATTGGGGCCACTTCTCGCGTCCGCCACTCCGGGTGCGTAATCCTTTGGCCCCGGCGAAACGAATTCTAACTTTTCGGCGGTTCCTCAGATCGCCGCGTGGATCATATCCGCGCTGACAGACATTGCGATAGCTGGGGCGCGATATTATTACCTGCGTCAACTGAGGCAGGGATATCTGGCGTGCGTATCTCATCTGCAATGCCATTGGTCTATTCATACTCATACTATCACCGGTCGGAAGGCTGCTGGCAGACAGCATGGACGCTGTGATGGTTTTCACGATCAACGATGGGCTCCTCAGCTGTGAATCCTTCCATTGTTGATTTTGTTTGCTGCTGAGTTTCTGTTCTTGCATAAATAGGCGTCACGGTGCTAGCCGCAGCGGCATGCGTGAGTCTATCAATCAGCCTGTCGAACTACATCTGATCGATACTTCGTTTGACTGTGCAGGTACTGGTGATGCCCGAAAATGAAATTTGGGTCGGATTCTACTTCGTTTTCGCTAAACGTCAGTGCAATAATCAATTGATGTTGCCATTTGACCCAAATCGTCCATATGCAGTATTTTCCAACTCCGTACTTGCGACGTGAGCACACACTTCCATGTCTGCTAGTTTATTGATAGTCCGCTAGATTGAACATGCGCAATTGGTTCCGCAACCGCGAGCGACCGATGGGCATCAACTTCCAGCGGCCGAACTTGACCAACAAACGCACCGCTTTTCAAACCACAATTACCACTACGACCACGGCTGACAAGGTGCGGCCGCAATCTAGCGTGGAAGGGCTGGATGGTGTAAGACAATCCTTGCACGAATGCCGGGATCCGCCTGACGCTCCCTATAGTCCATGCAAGTATTTGTCGACAGGCAGATCGATAAGTTCCCAGCCGGGCAAGAATTCAACTTGACTGTTGGGCACTACGTTCGCGAGCCCGCTCCTGGGATGATAAGTCCGACGAATGACCCTGGGGGTGACGACGCGACTGCTTTTTAAGCGCGACAGATCATTTACGTCTACTATCGGTGCTCGTTGGAAACGACATGTATTACTAGGAGTGAATGTTATCGTCGCAGGTTGGCGTAATTGTGGAATTTGAATTGTAATATATATGCTGTATTCAGAGGTACTTGACGAAATCAAGTGCGGCATCGCAGGCTAAGTCTCAAATCAGCGTGTCATGACGTGGCTTGCTCTTAAGCATCATCATCCGCATCGCCGTCGACGGCTACACGCACAATATGCATAGGATGACGCTCACGTGCACGACTCCCTAGCTTAACGATCCGCGACTTCCTCCGGAGTTGGAACGGGAATCTTCGAGTTGGTATTCACGCTGCATCTCGGCGTCGTTCTTACCATCCGTTTGGTGGCGCAACGT